TATATATATATATATATATAAAACACCTGTTTCCAAATAACAGAGCTCTAGTTCATCATATTCACGCAATGATTCCTCATTAAGATGAGCCATTTCAAACATGAATGCCAGGCTCTCCTGTAAATAGATTTTTAATTATTTACAGAAGAGCTTGCTAGTGTTCTTATTGGCGATAAAAAAATGTTTTTATTATCATATTAACAGAAGAGCTTTAGCCTTTATGGTTACCTTGAGAATGAAAAAATTACAGAAACTCCAAATAGGCATAAAACGTTGTTCACTGAGCTTACGAATCTCATCCTCATAGAACTGAATACGCCTATCAAGACTGTTTCTAATGCACTCCATGATTTTGAGCTGTAAGTCTTCCCAAAAAGTTGTTTCAGGTCCATGTAGATCAAATTTGCAGCACCTGATGAACCACTAGTCCTGAGTTGAATTCATGGAAGTATGCGAATGTTACAAAATGAAATTCATGATTGATTAATCAGTGGATGCAACTTTACCTTTCCCTTTTTCTTGAGTTGAAATCAACTTCAAGTCTTCCATAAACTTTTTGTGCCATCTTGTATGCTTGGTCATTATTGGGTGCAGCTTTAGACACAAACACAATGAACCACTGCTTCTCATCATTTTGCAAGGTTAATTTCAGACGTGGTTTCAGGATTGTTTTGAACTCATCCAGATCCTGTAGCAACAATTTGTCATTTTTCAACTCATACAGATCAATGAATGTTTCACGTTAGGTTTTAGTAGTTACCTCACAGGTCACAAGAACCACAGTTGCATATGGTTCTTTAAACCAAAACAATGGTTGCTCTGGAAGGAAACGACTTCTGACCCTTTGATCTGATGCTAAGATAAACTCGGCTGGAAGATTATCTACAGTCACAGGATTTCGGGTTTTGTTGTTCAATGTAGCTCTTTTAAATGGAAGCCGTTTCTCAAATCCTTCCTTCACAAGGGGCCACAAATCACTCACATCGTCAACTGGAAAACAATTCAATTTCAGTATTCAATGTCACAACTCAATGCGTATTAAATTTGGTCTGATTATTGAGTGTGGAAGTGAATGCGTATTTCAAAATTAGAATTAGAGCTGTAATTAAGGAAATTTGGGAATCATACTTGCAATGATGAGGCGATCGCAAGAATTTTTGATAGACTGAAACTGAGATAAGAAATTCGCCATTTATACGATCAATCTGTGGAGGAAAATAGGTGAATTAGAAGTATTTAATAGAATGTGTTCGTTAATCAAGATAATGGAAGTGGATTAGTAAACTAAAACCTCTTACGCCGTGACTTCAATTGTGGATTGATTTTAGTGTATCCGGATAATCGACGTTTCCTCTGATCATGGCTGAGATTCAATGACGGGTGGATCCATTCTCCTCTGCAGATATGATTATTGGTTTGGGTGGAGCGATCACCGTTGGGTTTTCTGTCTTATGGGACTGGACCGCCATATTCGGTTTTCTTTGAATGGAAATGCCGGAAACAGTCTAATTGGTTTTACGGTTAAAATTTTCATTTTTTTAGAGTAAAGTACAGAAATGGTCCTTGTGGTTTGGTCAAAAGTTGAAGGTTTATACAAGCCTTTAAAAATCTGATCTATTGCATCCATGTGGTTTCAAAAAAACTACAATGTCCTTACTTGGTCCATATAAAAAGATTATATTACCCTTGTTAAACTGATTTTTGTTTTTGTAAGCTCCACCCATTCTCCATTTTTTCTCTTATTCATATTCAGTTATTCTCAAAGTTCACACGCGTTATCCTACCCTTCACCATCGTCTTATGAAGCCTAAATCCAAAATTATGAAAACAAAATTGATGTTGTTGATATGAAATTGATGTTCTTGATCAATATCTACAAAAACAAAATTGATAGTTTGTTCTTGTTTATTAGGTTTGAAGCTCTGTCAGGTATGGATTAGATGAAGAACCATACCCTTATAGGGTTGATGAGGATGCATTTCGACGATGTTGTTAGGTCGCTGCCACCGTTGATGGATCGGGTTTAACCGAATCAGTTTAAGGGAAAACCAAGTTCAAACAGAAAAATAACCAATTCATCATGTATGAAAGACCGGGCCTAAATCGATCATTCCTTAAATTATTTTGACTATAACCAACTTATATTTTGTGACATCCTCAATTTCACGGCCAGAAAAGACCGATTTATTTATGTTTATTAAAATCAGAGTATCATTTTAAAAAAATAATATTGCGGAATTTGTTCCCAAAAACATGATAATAATATAAGCAAAACATTTCCAAAGAAATGTATTTTATTTATATTGAAAACGTTGGAATGTCATCGTTAATATAGTACATAAGCATAAACGAAATTAATACAGGCCTTACACTAGTTTATCTAAACTACAGACCTATAAGCATCCATAAATCGGTCATCACAACATCACACTTGTGCTTTCGTGCCACTAGCTATAATTCAAAAAACTGAGTGGGTCATGCTTGGGGGCCTGGTGAACACATAGGGTTTTTAACCCACAATTTAAATTCCTTTAATTATATATTTCCATCAAAACATTTAACCTGATTACACATTCTCGTTATCCTCACTTTCTGTCCCTAAGGCATCTAACTCAGGAGACCTAACCTAAGGATCATCTTCGGGATAGACAATAATGCTTAGGGGGTACCTTAGCAATATATGTCAATAAGGCAACCGTGAGGGGGGAGGGGGGGATGGAGTATACCTGGTGAACACTTAGTTCAAAAACACCTACAAGTTGCGAGTCTGTTAGTGTTCCACTGGACTATCAAGAATAGTCTGTGGTTGTCATTTATACTCGGCTAGACGACTGGATCATCTTTAAGGTCAAGGCCTCTCATTATCTATATCATCTTTCATCTCTCATCTATATCATCTTACATCAACCCATCTTTACCCAATGTATTTATAGGTAATAAAAATACTTATACAGTTTAAATCAATTACAACATGTATAAAAATTATTCATCTAGCATAGATATCATGAAACACATATAATAGACACATATAGCATGTAGTTATCTTAAATACTTTATATCTATGTGTAAAATGAAAGTAATTATGCACTCACTTGATAAAGTGATGACTTAAGACTCAGACAACGCTTCGCTTTTCCTTTGACGTGACCTAAGTTCAATTAACACTAAGTCTTAGGCTAATATTCCTTATGAATAAAGATAGCCTAGATCTATCATTAATCCCAAAGTCTACTGCTCTATAGCTGATAAAGGATAACCAGGTAGGATCATATCAGAGGTAGGGTCTGTTTGGTATAAAGAGTATACTGTTTGGAAATCTCGTTTTAAACACCTCACTAAATCCAGCCTAGGCATAATCCCCGTAAGTAGATCAATCAGTAATACGACATTGGAACTACTGACGAATCTTATTTATAAATTCATAACAACGACTATCAATTTTAAACATAAATTACACTAGAATAAAATAGAGTGTAATTTAACTCACAGAGATTCCGTGGACAAAAGTACGAAAATTACACTGGCGGAACTTTGGGTTAACAGCTACAAGATATCGATCTCCTAGGGACTTCTAACTTGCCAAAATATCCTAACTACTAAGGAGAAATTCGGACCAAAAGCCTAGAAATCGAGAGAGAGAGAGAGAGAGAGAGAGAGAGAGAGAGAGAGAGAGAGAGTAAATTTAATGTTGTGGAGGAAGAATGAACCCGAGACATCTATTTATAGGCTGGGATTTGGGCATGCACGCCGTGCAAGGACCATGCGTGTTGTGAAAAGGGTCAATGTTGCTCCTCAGGATTGTTGACATGTGGCGATCAATGGCTGGGGCGTCGTGGAGGCTTCTAGAAGGTCATGTGCGGGGCGCAGATGCGTGCGACATATTTCAAACTTTAAAATTGCATTACTTCTTCATACGAACTTCGTTTTTAACGATCTTTATATCCACGGGTAGCTATCAATGGGATCTACAACTTTCATTTAGACTTCGTCGTCAAATTTTGACTTTTTTTTATTTTACACAGCCTTAGACTATTAACGTCCGTATAAAATGCATAACTTTGTCATCCAACGTCTGTTTTCGACTGTCTTCTTATCGTTGTAATCCTATTAAGGAGATCTTCGACTCTCATTTAGATTGTTTCAGCTAACAATCAACTGATCTAAAATTCGATATTTGGGTTGTCTACTGCTACATTGAATTTTAGAAAAATCATAATTTCCTCTATCGAAGTCAGATTTGGACGTTCTCTATATGTACGCTCTTGGTTCGACGACTACTAGGACTTTTGTTTATATTACAAAGGCTAAAAAGTAATCTAACAAAATTTAATATTTACGACGCGCGTTGTCGAATTGGGTCGAATCGCGAAACTTCGATAGACCATAACTTCTTCGTTATAAGTCCGATTTAAACACTCCTTTTATCTCCGGAGTCCTTGTTACGAATACTTCAACTTTAGTCAAGGATAATCGGCCTAATTACTATTCTATTTTGGTCGCATATTTTATTCTTATTTTATTATATTGTTGTAAGCACTTATAGTACAAATAATTGCACATAAATCACCTAATACTCAAATAACTTCCCTTTGTTATATCAAATAAATTACAATCGTTAACCCTAATCATCTAATTAATGCGCAACGAGAAACATGGACGTTACATATTTGCAGTATGCCGGTCTGAACCCAATAACTTTTGGTGTGGAAGTGTAAAAGAGGAAACATTTTTTTTATAATGGGTAACTCTTCATCACTTTCTTTTTGGAGTTGATGTGAGACTCATTCATGCCATCAAATATGATATGCGTTGATTGTCTATACTTATATCTTTTTTTTCCTTCCTTTTTTTTTGCCAAACACATTTAAGGTAGGTCCTAACTTTATATATATATATATATATAAGATTAGGTTATAATGTGGACAACAAGTATTGTGTGGACGTAGAAACGATTCTGTACCAATATATGAAAAATAATGAAAGGATGTGATTTATGGTATATGATAATACAATGAGAGTGCATATATAATATAATTACACTAATATCCTTGTAATGATATTTTAGTCAATTTAACTTAATTTAAAAAAAAAAAAGTCCTGGATTCGAGAAGATAATATATTCTTTTAATTTAAAAAATATATATTTTCTGAAAAAAAAGCAAAGATTATCTTGAAGAATAATAAATTCTAACGGAATACAGAACACATATTATGATAGAATGATTATTTTGAATAATATAAACATTCTTAACCATCAATTAAAGAATAACAATATTTTTATATGTTTATAGACATTCGGATTTAAATACAAATTCATAAATATTCTTATAATATACTAGACTTATACGAGTTAATATATGTACACATATTCTAATGCATATTCTAACAGAATGATTAGATAACTATTCTAAAACATTAGTCACTATAATCAACATTTTAAATTACAACACAAATTCTATGATAATCCTTAATACCTATATCAAAAATTACAACCCAAATCTTCAAAAACGTAATGCATACCACAATGTATTTATTATAAGATTCTAATCGAATGATTTGATTTATATATTCTAAAAGAATGATTAGTTAAATATTCTAAACCATTCTGCCAAAATACATTCTATTATGCCAAAATACATTCTTTTATGCCAGAATACATTTTCTTTCTCCATGTTTTCTTTCTTTTCCATATCAATATCAACATCTTCATAACCTAAACCTACAAATAAACATGTTAAGTTTCCAATTTAAGATGCTTCAAACAACAATACAATCAAATGATATCTTCACCATAATAATTGAAATTCTTAAAAACTTCAAGTAGAAGAATAACTTTGCCAAACTAACAAAACTATTCCATTAATTGGAATGAAGATAAGAATACTAAAACAAAAATAATCGGTCACTCAAGTTCAAATTTCAAGTTATGAAAACTATTTAATTAATTGATAGATAACATTTAAATTTTGAGTTCAACGGATTAGAACTATGACTTCAAAATCGAACACAAATGAATGAAAATAATAGAAACAGAATGAAGCAAACCTCAATGTAAATATGATCAGAATGGGGTTAAGTTCTTTGAGGAAACAAAGTAATCAAGTGGTCAACATCAAAATCCAGATATTTGTATAAACTTACCAGGTACTATTCAATGGCTGGTGAACTTCCACGTTCTTTGGAAATCGCATCATTCCCAACTTCTAAACTATTAACTTGTATCCATAGTTCAAATAAGATGGTAAAAAAGCTTCAAGTTTATAAATATCGACAAAAAAAACTTCATGTTTTAGAGGAAAACAAAGGGAAATCTTTAGAAAAGTCCCAATATTTACGGAAAAGTTACACTTTAGTCCCAAGATTTTTTTTGAACGAAAAAGTCCTGAAAACCGGCAAAAATTTGCAGTTTGACCCTTATTGACCGGTTGAAACCGGTACCAAATTAATTTGGGACTATTTCGTAAACTAACCCAAAATATTGCGACTTT